ATTGGGTAACTCATTAAACGTTGGCTGGGTCAATGTCACCATGACCTCAACATCATTGGTGGCAATGCCCGACTTACTTTCAATGGAAGATACCTCATCCACATCCAAAAAGAAAGGCCCCCAAATGATCTTCCGTGATATACATGGGCACACCATGTAAGGTAATCCATGTTTTTCGGGTGGCCATGTACTTTGTTTGCAGCCTGGTTGTTTTGGATGCTTCCAGCCAGTGCTTTAGCTGCCTCTTCAGTTGCCAGCAGGATGTCCCACATGGCGTTAGATTTTTGGGCCAAAACTTTAGCCCCAATATTTAAAGCCTGTAGGGCTTCTTCCATTACCCACTGCTTACAGCCATGAATTTCCTGGTCTTGATGTCGACCGTCAACAAGGAGATTGTCCTAGTTGCCACTGTCTCCATGACAGAAGGCATTGGTAACAGTTCATTTTTTGAGATGAACTCCTTGTATTCATCTCTGAGTCACTTGTAATGTTCTGGCCCCTTTTTGGACCTTTCTGGCATCCAAGCTGATGTTGCAGTAGACATGCTGGCCAATGGCTCTTTTTCCAGGGTCTCCTTCGCCATGGTGGGAGGGTATTCCCCACACTAAATAGGAAACAAACAAATAAGCAGTTAAAATATACAAAAACAAAGCACAAAAACAATGACAAATGTCTGACTTACTATTCTGACAGGTAGTTAATTGCACAAAACAAGTTTTCAACTAGCATCCAGCTGACAGACAAAAATAAACAGGGTTGTAATGTTGCGAACCTGGTAGCGTGCAGTGCTGGTTTATTAAAACGTGGCCTTGTGCCAGACACTACTTATGACTACCGAATCCACAAAGTAAAAATATTGAGTGAGTGAACTTAGTGAGGAAAAGGGGTCATTCAACAAATGCATAAAAATAATATAAGTAGATAGCCTGGATTAAATGACAAAATGCGTCTGGTTGAAAAACATATGAAATTTTTATTATATTCAAACAAGTAAGTTGTCTCGTCATTTGAGACCATCAGTGAAGTTACTGGATCTTAGAAATTAATGAAAAAATGTCGTGACAAGTAGTCACTGAAGGAATGTCTGTGTTCCGCGCCAAAATAGAAAACCAAGATGGCTAAGGCGGGAAAAAGTTTCATCAGAAAGAAAGTTCTGGAAAAATGACTTGTTAAACACAAGGTGTATGTGTACACAAATAGGTAAAGTACTCACTGTGAAGTTTGATAGTGTGAGTGTAATGTAATATTTTTGGGGGTACTGGTTCAAAGTAGTTAGAAGGTTCAAAGGTGTATGAACAGATTATCAACTTTGGGAGAACTTTGAGGAGAATTCAGAGTTGTTTGCATCAAGACGAGGTTGAGTCTTGGAAAAATGTAATATCGACATGTTGAAGTTTTGGTTAGTTAGGAATAAGATATTCCGGTCCGCGTATGGGTTAGGAGCACAGAATAAATGAGTGAACCATCTAGCTTGAAGATCAGGCCGCTACTGAGTTGGAAATGCTGTTCATCTGTGATGTCAGGAAAACGCGCGGGAAAAATTCAAATTTTGATTTTGGACATTATCAGGAGTAGCTAGTAAGCAACCTTCCTCACTCCAGCCAAAAGAGGCTGTTTACTGATATGTCTAGCTAAAAGTGAGAGGAAGGGGTGCAATCCGCACGTGCACACACACGCACAAGTGTGGAAGGAAGGGAGGAAAACTCGTGCGCGCATAAAATGTAGGTGGAAATACTGTGTTATTCCACAGTAACTTAAAACATAAATCTGTCTTTTGTTCTCAACACGAATGACAGTTGAATTTCTCACTACTAATGAAATGAAAAAGACCTTAGCTTAAATAAGCAACTGTAGGCTCCAAATCGCTGCGCGGGACGAATTATTCTTCACATACAAACGATCTGATTGGTTGGCATCGACCAATCAGCGAGTGAGCTTTGGGAAGACTTAAGAAAATTTCTGTGATCCGTTTCTCCCAAAAGTGCACAAAATTGACTACTTAAAAATAAAGCGATTACAAAATTGTCGCATTACTGCGATTGTAAATTGCCTATAATAACATAGTGGTGATTAATCAACCAATGAATGCTTGGCGTTATATGTGATTTGTATTTTTGTATGTATGTATGTTCGTGCTTAATAGATCCGCACTTAACGAGTTTGGTACACACACACACTTAACGAGTTTCGTAGAACGCATGAGTTGAAATATATCAACACCGATTAAATTAATCTTTCTTCAGATATCGACTTGGCCATCTTTATTTCTTGGAAAGAATAATTTTTTGTTCAAAATGATTAGATTTTTTTCAATTGAATATAATTCATCAATTTTTAAGATAATATCAGATTTGCTATCAATTGATACAGGCAAAAGAAGTTGCCTCCCTTTTTTCATCTCAATATCCAGTACATTTTCTTAATACCCTTTAATCATTTTGCTCGAAAAGCATGAACGCCTACTACCGGTGTCTAATAAGCAATGGCCACCATCCTTTTTCTACCCCACCGGATAGGCAATTTTACTACAGGTAATAAGAATTTATTCTCCTCACAGGTATTAATACACATGTGTATACAGAGATATACCTTTTTAATTTTTCGCATAATGCTGTTAGTGTTACATTCCTTAGAAGAACAATTCTTGCATGGATAAGGCAATTTAGCTTTTTGTCTGGGGCAATTTGTTTTACTTTTAACTTGAGCTCTTTGCAAGCCTCAACAGTAGAGAACTTGGTACATTTAGTCCTCCGATGTCCCTCATTAGCACAGGATTAATCAGCAACTTTGGAATAGTAATTTGTTACTAATTGAAATATTTAACAAAATAAGTTATAGAACTTGCCAAATGCCAACACTAAATTTGATATGCCGTATGTACAAAATACAATAAAAATTTGAAAAAAATGTTTTTAAATTACTTATTGGCACTTGAAATCAATCCTATACTGACTCGGTATCGTAGAACTAATTATGAATGTTTGACTTTTTGATGAGAGATATTTATTAATAACAGTAATAAGTATGACAATCATAAAACAAATATTGTTTTATAACGATTTTTTTTTTAATCTAATAGTTACGAAAGTAATGCATAAAATATTGGTAAAAAAAGAAAATTATTAAAAAATCCTAAAAATAACAGATTCTTTACTCATTTTTTTTAAATTGACCTGGTGAAGCAGAAAACAACAGTGAGATGGTTTAATAAAAATTAACAAGCTTTTTTATTGATTTTTCTTTAATAATTTTCTAACCAATATTTTATTTAAAACATTTCAGTTTTTTGTTTTTTTTTTAATTGTTTCTTCATTCAGTAAGCTAAGCAGAATTTGCTGGAGAAAAAGGGTTGCCTGTATGTTGTAGAATCGGATTCCTACATTGTTTTAAATCCAAAATTTGTGCAAGTTAGAGGCTCCCAACCAAGTATAACAACTGATGCATTCTAATTGGTTGCTTGAAACATATCAATTAGGTAGGTGTCACCAACTACGTCCGAATGTACCGACGCAAATTTTGACCTCGAGTTGACGCCACAAAATATAAACATGTTCCCGATCTCCCACGTGACCAAAGAGAACTAATAAAAACGAAACTTGGCCAGTGGGCACTTAAAATATAGAACTTACTTGGCACGGGGGCTCCGTCCCTGTGCTGCTGGTATCACGGCTACGACTAGTTCTGACCAGCAGCCCGAGTGAAAACACTCGGGTCCCCATGTTAAATACTGACCTTGTGTCACAACCTGACTCAGTGGTGGGGGGATCAAGTAAATCCTTAACTTGACTTCATTGGAGATCGACTCAACAACAAAGGAGACGAACCAAATTCTTCAACACGACAACGAACCTTGTCAACCAATTCCAGGTTTAACTTTAAAAATTAACACAAATCCAGCTTGCAAAAAAAAAAAAAAAAAAACGCTCACTCCCACAAAATCGTCTATTCCACAACAAGCATCTCCGGTGAAAGAGCGACAACTCTGTAAAAATCAGTGATTCAAGAACAATACTTTTTTTCTAAAAAAACAACTGTTTAATTTTCCTATAACAACAAATATACTTAACTACACCCTCTCATTTTCACATATACATTTCAGTAACTTAAATTATTTCAGTATCACACACCAAAGAACTCTAAAGTGTTTTAACAACTTTACCATCATATATTTTGTATTTGTTGTGTTTATAAAAAATATTTATTGTTGAACAATTTCTTCTACTCTTGTTGTTGTTGTTGTCTTTGTAACACTTGATATAAAAAATAATGTGTTCAACTTTGAAAAAAGCCCAGTGTCACTAAAAATTTTGAATTTCACAATATGTAACTTTTGCTGATACTTTTAAAATGTGCTGAGCTAAATCTATCAACTCAATAGAGAAATATCATTTCAAAAAATTAGAAGCGTTGCGCTTTCAATCGTAGCCCAATTTAACAATACTGACTGGAAAAGCATAAAATTTTAATCAATCCGAATTAATACTATAAATTCGGATTAGAATGGGTCTTTAAAATACCAATGTTCGGGAAGCTGAGTTATCTCCCGTTTTCTGTTCCTAGTAAAGGTGTTTGTAGCAATCTGAAATGAATTCTCCCGTAGGATAACACAAGAACAAAATTTGATAAACTTAAAACGGTTCCCTGTTCCTTTTCAGTCTGTTTTTCCTTGAAGGAAGGATTTCATTCCGTATTTATTAACTTATGAAGGAGAAAGTCTTGTGCTCATCCGAGGTCATTCCTGAAATAACCTCGAAAAGGGATCAATCTGAATTAAGGAAAGGTCCAACAACATTGGCTATCACATAATTACTTAAATTGTCAAATAACAATTTAAATATATTTAATTTCTATGTATTCTCTTTGTTTCCCTGTAGTTTTATGGACCAATTTATCCGTTAATACAGTAATTCTAGTGACAGGAATTGAAGAACCCTTTTAGAAGGCAAATATTATTTCTTAGTAAAGAAAACAAAGTTGAAAAAATGTCGTCAACTGCGGCGATGCTTTATCAAGAATTAGAACAAGTAAGTTTTTATTCTAATTTATTTAATCAAGTTTATTTATTTCCGAAAATCGTTTCAATCATATTTTTGTTTAAAAGACAAGCTAAAACAATCTTCATTTTATAATTATTGCCCTTTTAACCATGAAACATTTAAAAAATATTGAGAGATTTTCGCCTGCATTTGTTTTTTGTAATCAATTGACCAAAATGGTTTAAAGTAAACCAGCGAAAACTTTTATTCGGTGAATTTTTTTTTCTTATGGTTGTCGATTGTTTAAAAGAAATGATTAAATAATGTCCTCTGCGATCAAATCAAATTTTTACAATTCACTCTTACTACAGAAACAAAATATCAGGGTTTTGATGGTTTTTTTTTTTTTTGGTTTTTTTAATTTTCAAAACAATATAGTTAAAAAATAAAACTTGAGTATCACATCTGAAAATTACATGCAAAAAAAGAAAAATTGTAAATAAATTTTAATTAGTTTTTTAAAAAATGTTGCAGTTCTCTGGTTATTTTATCAAAGTTTTCAAACACTTTCTTTTTCTTTTTTTTTCTTTATAGGAAAAGAAATTAAATTCTATTTAATTTTTTTTTTTTTTTTTTTTTTTTATCGCAAAAACAACAAATTTTGTCTCCTGCAGCTTAATAATACCAAATTTATTTGTTGCTATGGTCAGCTTTAGCTAGCTGGTTCCAGGTCACCTTTGTTGGGCAAGGTGTCGCATCGTTATAAGTTGCGTAACCCATAGGGTCTTAAAGGCACATTGTACGGCAACTAGCAGCATTTAAGTGTGTATAAGGTGGCCCATCCTTCTTCACTTCAGGCTGACTTTTGAATTCAATTTATTTCTCTTCATACTGGTTGCCACCTCTGTCAATAGAGCCAAATGAAACCCGTTATTTAACTCGTGGGGGTGTAGAACAGATGGATCCCTTTTCCTAATTTGTGTTGTAAGTGAATTTGAACTTGGCTCTTCGATTTCACTTTCTGAGTTGCACACAAGAATACTCGTACATCCTAGTTGTCAAACGGTGTAACACATTTTCAAATATTCGCTCATAGCGGATTATAACAATTTTCACTCAGAGAAATAAAATATCTACAGAAGATAAAGACTTGGTTTGACATTAGAATTTTTTATAAAGTCAAAAATGGAAATTATGAAGTTAAAAAAAAGGATTTCAGTTGAGTAATCCTTTGATTTGTTATCTAAAAATCAACAGCTTTTACCTGTTGGGTTAATAATGTTTTATTTTAAGATTAGCCCCACTTCTAAATTCTTCCTATAGTGCTCACTCTCCTTGATCTTTATTTCTTCACTCACTAGTTTCTCGTACATAGTTTTTGATTTTGTTAAAACATATTTTCTTAAACAATTTGTTATAATTCATTTTCTCTAAATATAAACATTAAATTTTGAACATTAATTATCAATGTTTCTCATGTTTTACGCTAATTCCTTTACAAATGGCAAATTTCTAGTAATAAACTGTTTTTTATTATACACTGACGCAAAATAGTAAATAAGATAATTTGGAAATTGTTCCATCAGAAAAAGGCTTCATTTTATTTTTGTTGAAAAAATATTTTAATCTTTTTCCTGATGGCAGCAGTTTATCAGCGAAATATGTTCAGTCTGTTAGAATATAAGTTTTCCATATTGGCTTATTCAGCATTCTATCAGATTCTCATCCAAAGTTTACTCACTGATACAAAAAAAATCTTTCCTATTTTGAGTTTTTGTGAAAGCCTGAAATAGTTGATTTAAAAAGTGATTCTTCTTTAATTTGAAGCAAAGTTACAAATCATTTTAATATTGCTGAAAATTGAGATTTCTATAAAACTTAATTGCATTGTTATATTTTGTTATTGCAAGATTTTGTTTGAAAGTCAGTACATATGAATCTATTCTTACTCCAACTTGTCCACAACTCTGACTGAAATTAGATTACCATGAAACCCAATTTAATTTACCTTATTTCACAATCACAGTGCCATCAGATTTTGTCAGTTGGATTTTTTTTTATTTCCAACATGACTACGACAACACAGATGGAGTTTTTGTACATTTACCTTCTTTATTTATTTGTATATTGGCCAAAATATTCAAAACTGTGACATCCAACCTCAAGGAGAAATTTTCTTAATATTAGGTTATCTAGGATATAATAGCTATTTCACAAAGGGTTTATTAAGATTGAACTTGTTAAGCTTTACTTTGCATGGTCAGGTATTGTCATTATATTGATATTCTTTGTCTTTCACTGACTTCTCTAACTTAGCTTTTCAATACAGATAGAAAGATAAACATCAATGAATAAAGATTTTCAGTTCATTAATATTAAATGTATTCAAAACTGGTGATTTAAATTTTCCCTTTTATTTTATTTTTTATAAATATTTATAAAGTATAAAATATTAAAGTTGATGCAAAAATTTTAAAGTGTGCTTTTTTTTTATCTTTTTTCATTATTTCTGATGCAAACAGTCAACTGTAGGAGATCATTAGGAGAAAAAAATCAGAAACTAAATGTATTTTTTTTTCCATTGATACTGGTTTTATTTTAACTGCCTTCATAACTTGGCAATGTTTAACATTTTAAAAAGAATTAGAATTGTAATAAAACCTAAACAATTATGAAAATGAATTTATACATTCTTTTTAGTTCTTGAGAATTTACAACAAAAATAGTGAACACTTGTTTATTTTCAAGAATAATTTTATATTTACAACATTCTAAGAACTAATGAAATTAAAACTAATGTAATGCAGTATTTGTCATTTACCAATTTATAAAGAAATGAATATGAAAACAACTTTTTATTCAAAAATTTACTAAATTATTAAAATGTGAACCAACTATAAGGAAATGCATATTATTTACCATTTTATAAAGTTTGAATCAATTGGCAATTAGTCAATATTTTGCTAACCATTCCAATAAACAATATAATAAATAGTGTAAAGAAACAATCTAATAAATATATAGTGTTTATTATATTTGTTGTCATTTCTTAAGAACAAAGAAAATATATAAATTCATTTTCATATGTTTAGGTTTTATTACAATTCTAATCACTTTTTAAATGAATAAACATTGCTGAAGAGTGAAGGTAGTTAAAATAATAATGGTATCAATGGAAAAACTGTCCTTTTGAGATTTCATTTTTTTGCATGCACAAACGTCCAAGTTTACCAGTTAGTGTTTAAGCACTTTTCTTTCTCTTGCTTGCAACAGATAAAAAAAAAATATTTTTATGCAAGATATTCAATGTTAATGAAAAAAAAGATTTATTACAAGAATTCCAAACAAAAATAGTAACTAGATTAATCTAAATGGAATTTTTGTTTTTGGTGATATTTGAAAGGATTTCTGTAATATAAATTGCTTAAGCCAGGATGCACAATGCCACACTGAGTAAATGACTCATTTAAATGGTGTATCAGTTGTATGGTTTTTAGTTACAAGCACAAATATTTTAATCATTTTTTTTCTCTCTCTCTAATTTCAGGAACCATTCAATGCCCATGAGTTTGTGGAACGTCATGCATGGCGTACAATGGGCACAAGAGCACAAACCAACTGTGATGAATTTGACCCAATGAGTCTGCATGCAGCTTTTGAACGAATGATTAGGGACCTACGTGAGAAGAATTTGCAGATGCACAAAAAAATAGAGAAATTGGAGATGAGCTGCAAGGATGAAGAAAAAAGACACTGGCAACGAGTGACCGAATTACAAAGGAAAAATCAGGTACTATTCCTCCATCTTCCCACTCCTAAATGTCTGCACACTTTTCATGTTGATAAACATACAGGTTAAGAGATGTCCTTTTAGTACATGTACAAAAGATTTTAAATCAAAGCAAAGAATGATATTTGTAGAAACTTACAATTCTATTAATTATGAATATATCTACAAAATAAACTTGTACTATAAACATTTTTTTCCAAAAGGATTATATAGAAGTATTAAAGACAATTTTTACATTTAATTCATCTTAAAACTAAGATTTTTAACTCCATAAGAGAAACAAATCTTTCTAATGGCAGATAAAGAGACACAAATGCAGAAGATGAAGGTAATACTGACTTGTTTTTCTATTCTCTTGGAAAAGGTGTGAATCCATCTCTCCTTCACCCCGGCTATGGGTTAATTAGCAGGGCCCTCTAGCCATGTTTGACAACCAGCCTAGGAGTATGGCAATTTTGAATTCAAAACCATATGTAGCCCTGGTGATGAGTATATTATACAGTCATGGTAAAGTTTATGTAGTTCACAGTTCACTGCAGGATTATGGACAACTCTATGATCCTGACTGAGGTCAACTGTATAACTCTATTTGACTTAAATTTCTCTTTTAAAATGAAAGTCTAGCAATCTCTTGAAAGTGTATGTGCATAATATATACATGTACCTGTGTGATGCAATGCTTTGTCTCACACAGTGAAGAAATGTAACTTTTTGACCTGAAAATGACCTGGATGTCATTCAAAAACTCATAGCAGGAAGTTGTAAGCATAGATATTGTGTCCCAGAAGCAAACCTATGAGAGGCCCATGTCCTTGGACAGTAAAGCAGGAAGCACCTACTGGTGGATGTGCCATTCTTCTCTGGGAGTAGAGCAAAGCTGATGATCTATGAATTTGAAGAAAGTTTACTTAGATTTGAAAATGGCAGCTATCCAGTCTTCTTTTTTCTTGTCTTATCTACAGCCTACAACCTCCTATAGATCCACACGCATCTTAAATACCCTTATAGTAAATAATTTTTGAAAACTCTAAGAAGTTTTTGTTCCAAATTCCTACACAGCATTTGATGTCCTGATGGGAAACCTGTAACAATAATTTATCAGGTACTATGTTGCCACCATTACACATATTCAGACATGAAGTTTTACCTAAAAGAATACCTCATCATTTAACCAAATGTTTTGAATAGTTTTAGAAATAAAAGTGCATCATTTAATCATAAAAACTAATACTTTTCTGATTTGGATTTTATTAACTTTTAATTATAAAATCATTAAAATTAAGCATATAAGGATTTTAATTATTAAAAAAACATTTTAGTAACAATCTAAGTAAATAACTGCAAATGTCAATATGTCACACTTTTTCAACATTACTCCTAGATGTTGTGATCCAACATATTTGATTTTAGAATCTAGCCAACTCCGCGAACAAATTAAAACATTCTGATCTGGATCCAGACCTGCAATCCTGAAATTTTTGATTCCAAAATTTTCAGTACTGCAATTGTTTTTGGAGATTTTTTTTTTTTTTTTTTTTTGTGACTTTCTGCAACATATTTTTTGTACAATAACAATTTTTATAACTTGGCAATAATTAAAATTAATTGTGAAATCCAGTGAATGCCACCCATGAAATAAAAAATAATAGTTTGTACAGAAAGTAAGGACCTATGTACATCAAATTGTTCTTAAATTAAGTGGTGGCAGAAGAATTATTGCTAAACTTTTAAAAGGTAAGCTTAAATATTAATGCAATACTTAAATGCACTGATCAGTTTAAGGTCCTTCTGTAGTTTATTGTTGCCTATCATAAAGTTTTAGGGACTCTCAAACTCCTGAACAAGCCAAAGGCCCAATCAAAAGCACCTCACAGGAGCTAGCTTTTGCAGTTATATATATATATATATATATATATATATATATATATATATATATATATATATAATTATAACAAAAAAAATGCCATTTTGTTTCAACACTTCTGATGTCTTATCAAGTGATGATGTTGAATGTAAAATAAAGGGTTTAAAAAAAAGTTTGAATCAATCAAATATTTCCTCACTAAGGGGAAGGCTTTTACATAAGCTGGAATGACCAATCAAAATACATGTATCCGAAATTCAAAAATTTGACAACAAACTAAGTTTATAATAATTATTTAATGCTTTAATTTTAAATAGACTAAAATAAATTTATTCTAACTAATAAATATTAAATTATACAATAAAATTTAACAAAATTAAAATTTACCCATTTTAAAAAAAAAAAATTTAATCTATATTAAGTTTAAAATTATAAAATTATTTAAAAAAAAAAAAAAATGTTATTCTTATTTTTTTTTATTTTTATTGAAATTGAGTTGGAATAAATTTTAAGATTAAATGTTGCTCGAAATTTGATTTCATGACAACATAGATAATTTGAATCATAAGCATTAAGAATAGATGACATCTTGCAAAATACAATATCATACACAATCAGATTATAATACATAAACACGTTCGTATTTAGATATATACACACACAAAAAAAGGCTTTAATGGAGACAGGAAATATCCCATTTTTTAAAAAAAAAAAAAAATAAAATATATACATATACAATGAAAGGTTTTATAAATATTGACTGTACACACAAACACTGATAAAAATGTGTACATGCATACACATACATTGACAAAGAAAATTAACAAACCAATAAATATTCAAGTTTGAAATTCTTATTTAAAATCAATAAAATATAACTTATTTGGCAAATAAAAAATCAACATGGGCATAACAGAAAAGCAAACAGTTGAAAAATTAAAGGACATTAAAACAGATTGACATGGATAGAAAAACAAATTATATATACACATAAAATAACACCATCTAATATATAAAAATTAAAATTCCAAAACACACAAATATATAAAAAAAATATATTTCATATATATATATATAAAATATGACATGGAAATACACATTCAATACAAAAAAAAATATAAAAATATATAAAAAATAAAAAATTTTATAAAGTACATGTTTACACATTCTTTCAAAACAGACAATTGATTTAACAGAAAACTAAATACCTTCAATAAAACATATATATATATATATATATATATATATATATCAATTTATCTATCTATCTAAAATATAATAGATAGAACACAAAATATTTATATAATATATACACATACAGAAAGAATTATAAATATATCAACCCACATGGCAATAATAAAAAAATATATTATTTATATATATATATATATATATATATATATATATATATATATATATATATATATATATACAAATTTCATACAATTGATATTTCATATAAAAAAAAAAATGTTCAAAAAATTTTGTATATAAATATATATATATAAATATATAATATATATATATATATATATATATATAAATAAAAAAAAAAAAAGAAAATTTTAAATATATTCTTATAGAAAAATTCTTATAAATATTTTATTTTTTTAAAATATTGCTCAATGTAAATTTATAATATTGTAATATTAGAAATCATTTAATTAAAATTTAATTTTTTTTTTTTAAAATATTTGACTGTTAGTAAATAATTATTTAAAGAATTAATATTTAAAATAATTTTTTTATTTAAATTAATATTATATATATTTGTGTGTGTGTTTTGTAAAAATATATATAAATATAAATAAATATGGTATTGTTATAAATATTTATATATTATATTATACTTAAAATAGAAATTCACTCAATATCAGAAATAGATAAACATATTTGGTTGGATATAATGTTTTTTTTTTTTTATGGGTTTCACAAATTTAATTTAATTTTGTCAGACAAACTGATTAATGTTTTTAAAAAAAAATATTTATGTAGATTTTATTTTATTCAATTTATATATTGGTGTTATTGTTAAAATAATAAATTGGAAATTTTAAAATTCATTGTCATTCATTGAAAGTAATTAAATTAAAACATCGATGTATGCAGAATATCCATAAATACTTGGTCGTCCGTCAGGACTCATACATATATAAACAATATGTGGGCTGTTTTTATTATTTTATTTACAAATAATATGTAAAATTTATAAAAATATATTCAATTTATATAATATATACATAAATTTGTATGTTGAAATTTAAAAATTCAAAGTGTGAATGAAATGTCAAAAACAGAAATTAAGTATATGTCATATTAACTAATATTTTTAAAAAATTTCCTTTTAAAATGTTTCATATATATGAAAATCAATATTTTGAATTAAATTATTAGTTATTTTTTAAAATTATTTTAAAAAATTATTTATATTTATTTTTTAAATTTTTAAATAAAAAAAACTGGGGTTTATATATTTTTAAAAAGTTATAAATTTTTTTTTTTTTTGAAAATTTATGTGTATATTTAAAAGCAAGTAAAAATTTTTTTGTTAATCCTTAAATAATTTTATATGGTATAATTTTAATATTTATTTTATGTGTTAGATTTATAAATTCAATTTAATAACATGTCTATATGATATGATGTGATAGAATGTTTTTTGTTATTTTGATTTTAAATGATATCAAATTTTTGTTGTAAATTGAATAAAAAATATTTTGGTTGTAAACGAAATAAATTATTAAATGGACCAATATAATTAAAATAAAAAAATATTAATATAAATTGAATTTAGTATTGAACAAAAAAAATAAATTTTTTAATTTGTTTTATTTTAATTTTTTTTTTTTTTGTTATATGTATTATAATTATTTTAAAAATAATAAAATGTAATAAAAATAATTCTGAAAAATTTAAAATTTATGATAATAATAATTTTAATTTTAAAATTTTAATTTTTTTTTATTATTTTTTTATTTTAAAAATAAATTTTTCAAAGAATGAAAGGTATAAAAAATGTTCTCTTTTTTTTACATATGGAAATTATATCTATAAATTCATTTTTGTTTTTGAAAAAATTATGCTTTTAAAAATAAATTTATTGTAAATTTTTATGAATGTTTATAAATAATTGAAT